AGCTGGAATATTTTTTCGCCCTACGGAGAAAATAAGGCCGCACAACGCCGCCTGCCGTCAAAATGTGCCTTGAAGTTCTGAAGACTAGAACAGGAGCAATGGTAGTGGGACTTGCCCCCCGGTGACCCCCCACCCACACAGGCAGACCACAAGCTTGACTTTTTGTCTGTTCTCAGGTCAGGGACTTGGCCTGGAGGCGGCGGGCAGGGAACAGAGCGAGGCCCCTCCTGCATCTCTGGGGCCCTTTGCCGCTAGCTTAAAGAAAACCAAGAGCGCGTTGTGGATCAGAAACTTGAAAGTCGCTGCTGAGATGCACGCACGCACGCATGCACGCACGCACGCACGCACGCACCCACGCAGGCACGCTCACACACACGCACGCACGCACGCACGCACCAGGTCAGTTCTGTCTGTTTTCTATTTTCATTTGTTCTTTCTTTTGTTTGTTTTCTGCCTGATGTTTGTCTGTTTTCTGGCCGTTTTTTTTTGTCTGCTTTCTGTCTGTTTTCTGTGGCCGTGTTAGGGTCAGCGAACGGGCGAAGAGTGGGGCAGGAGCTGGCCTGGGTGCGGGGATGGGAGGGGTTGGAGCTGGCCTGCGGAGCAGGGATGGCAGGGGAGAGGTGGGTGTTTCTTCGGGGCAAACGCTGTGGCATGTTCGAACTCAGCGAACAGCGGAGCTGGAAGTGGGAGGTGGGGTGGAAGGTAGTAGGGTKTTTTCTGCAGGTTTGAGCGCTGGCTTGGTGTGGTGGTGGGACGGGGAGGAATGTCTTGAGCCGGTTGCCACCGCAAGGAATGGGAACGACGTCGCCAAGGTGTTCGGAGGTGAGACAAGAGTTGGTGCTACCTAAGAAAGGCCACACTGCAAGGAACATGAATATGGGCGAAGCACAGAAATCCAGAATGCAAAATCACACTGAAGTCCAAGTAGTCAAAGCCAGAGCAGATAGCACAATGGAACCTAGTAACCATCCATTTGAGAATGATACAGAAGAATCGTGAGTCAATGTCCAAGCCCAACAGGGCAACACCAACAGCATAACCCAATGTAGCTCTCTCTCTTGAATGGCGCCAGGC